AATATATAAATATATAAACAATCCTAGATAAAACTCAAAACAGCTTCGTGTAAAGAAAAAGTCATAACATAAGGCAGCTCCTCTTTTGGTCATCCTTATGCTGGGGCAGCTGGTGACAGAAGATGGCATGTGTCCCTTTGTATCAATACCGTGGAACCCTCCTTTCTGTGCTCAGAAGACAAGATGCAAGTTCATACAACTCTTGTCACCATAGAAGACATGCATTTGCCCATGTGTTTTGTTCTTGCTGATAGAACACTAAATACAATGCAGTTCAGCCTGGTTTTCATAATGGCCTTGCAAACTAATATATATATTTCATAATGACCTATTTCATGTCCTTCTGCCACTTAAAGTAGAAAAATGACAATGAACAGCAAACCTCATGGCTGTTTTAATTCTATGTGCAATAGCCACAAGAAAATGACAGAAGACTGTAGTAAGTCAGGGCGTTGTATATCAAGTTACTCAGAAGAGCATTTCTTCACTGCTGTGTGGTCCGGTGTGACTGATCTCTAAACACCTCTTTGATGCCCATAGTAGAGCACGTGCTGCTTTGCTTTAGTGGGGAGTTGCATTCTCACACTTAAGAGAGAAAAAAAAATTATATGACCATACCATCAGCAGAAAGGAATAAGCTAGAGAATCGCCTCACCTGGCTCAATAGGGATTCTAGACTGATACTATGAGGACCATGATGATGTGTGAAATAAGAGCAGAAATACACTAATCTAAAAGGTTACCCACAGGAACAAAATTCAAGGAAAATAAACATGAAAAAATAATAATTATTGCTTAGTAGAGAGCATTTTCAAAAATACTGTTTAGATCAACATGTGATAAGAAAAGAACATATATTTAGTATTAACATATTATCAATGCATTGTATTGTATATTCAGCCACTGCAAGTATTTAATGGTATTATGGTGACATTTAGTCTTTTATGTATTTACATATTTCATAAAAATATGTTGATATTCTGTATATTCTGTATCTACCATACTATGAGTTTATTTAGCCTTTATTTTCTTAAATTCTCCATAAAAAAAAAACATGGGTTCTATAATCTTTCAGAATTTAAATTCTAACACAGTAGTATAACTCCGGTAGGTTGTGTGTTAGTGAAGTTTTCAGAGTAAGCTTTAGAGAACTGTGTGTCTGGGGGTTGGAGGGGTATGTAGTTAACTTTGAGTCTAAATCCAAAGCAAGAAATGTGGATCAAGCAGACTTAACTCCACTGAAGCATGAAGAGAACATTGACAAAAAATGAGCCACTTTAAACCATCAATATTTATTAAACACTTACTCTAAACCAGGCCCTTTTCTAAACGCTAAGGTGGTAGCAGTGAATACAATACCAGGAAACAAGCTTTTACATATTAGTGGTAAGTGGAGAGAAAGTGGAGAGAGAACAGATATTAAATATGAATAATTAAACAAATATGTTTGACAAAGTTGAATGTGTGAAGAAAATAAACCAAGTTGGATAGGAGGCTAGGGGAAGAACTTTAAAATTAGTATTAGCTAAGAAGAGAGCTGGAAAGAGAATGAGTGTATATTGTGATAGTGATCCTGAAAGGGACATTCCAGGCAGCAGGAAAAGGCAGGATCTGCTTGCAAGTAGAGAACAATGCAATTGATTTGAGCAAAAGGGGAGAGATTGGTAGACAAGGGGAAGCTCTGTTGGGTCATGTCAAAAATTATTTTCTTCTTTTTTGTTAAATTTATTCATTTTTGTTAGTATGTGTGTGTATGTGAGTGTGTGTGTGTGTGTGTATGTGTGTGTGTGTAAACATGTGTGAGCAAACTGGTATCACGGTGAGCTTGTGGAAGTCATATGACCACTTGTAGGAACTGATTTTCTCCTCCTCCTTGTGGGATCAGAGGATCAAACTCAAGCCATGGGGCTTGGTGGAAAGAACTTTTACCTGCTGAACCATTTTTCTGGTCCTGGAATATTGAATCCTACCTAAAAGGGAGGCCATTTGAGGCATTTGATCAAAGATATGAATTGATTTACATTTTAAAGGTTTCATTATGGTAGATGAAAGAGCCTGAATCAAGGTTGAGAGGTTATTGCAGTGTTTCAGAAGAATGAACATGTTTACAGTAGGTGCTTTTAAATAGAATGAACTACAGTGAATGATTTAAAATTTATTTAACTTTTCAAACAATATTTTTATTCTTTGAAACTTTCACACAATTAACATAATGTATATTGCTCACATCAATCTGCCACTGTCTCTTTTCAGCTTCGTATATTGTACCCAGCTGTCTACTCCTCAACTTTATATTCTGCTTTTAATGTTATTGTTTTTAATAGTCCATTGAGTTGAGTTAGTGCTGGTTTATATAAGCACAGGTGAGTGACCACTCACTAATACATAAACAACCTACCCACTGCTATATCCCTAAAGAACGATTCTCCCTCTTTTGGCAACCATCAACAAGACCCTTTCCTCATCCATGATAGAATTTTAGCTGATTTGATCTTTGGCAGGTAACTAGATTTGCAGTAAGTTGATGTGTGTAACAACCATTTGTTGTTTTTATCTAAGTTGTTCTATTACCAGTAAAGACTCAAGTGTCAGCTATTGGGGTAAAAGCCTGATAGGTCAAAGAAGCTGCAGAGGAGTGACCAGACCATTCTCTCCACACTTCCCAGATCAAAGAGACTGCAAAACCTCCAAGTCCCTCCCTCCTACTTCCTGTGCATCTTCTCTATCTGTAGTCTTGACTTCTCTATGGCTAAGTCTGGTCAGCTAGTCGCTGGCTCTGCCCCCTGATTTAAGGTTAACTTTATTAACACAGTCTCAGGATGTCATTGTGCGATCAAATATCCCTCAACAGCCATTTACAACTGAAGTAAAGTATGGAGCCTTTAGCACAGTATTGCCATGTGGTAAGCTCTACACAAGTGCTGATTTATCTTCTTCCTCTTCAGCATCATTATTATTGTTTTCTTTATCAAAGTTATAATAGAAGCCTTAGGAAAAATGCCAGCACCTTTAAGTGTTATATGAGCATTATTCTCCTTTTCTTGCTATAGTCATATATTAAGCACTTGATTTGAGAGAGCACCATACTTCAGAATTGTTTATGGATAACATACATAATGCTTAATGCCCTAGTCACTGCAAAAATGTTACACAACTCATAGTTAAAAGCTATTTCTAGAACATTGCAATAAGCCATAGTCATGCCTTGCTCCTCTCATTTATCTCATCTTCAAATATGCCCATTTGACTTGGTTTATTTTTCTTAGCATGGGTTGTCCTTGAGCTTACATACGTTCAGTGTGCTGCTTTTTATTGTATATATTTTAATGCTCAGTCATCATTGATACATAGGAAATACACATATACAACACTATTCATCACAGTGGCTGTGGCCTTTGAAATTCATGTCTTAGAAATGAAGACAGATATTAAGATTTGTTTAAAGTAATGCAGTTATCTGTAGTTACTTTGAAAAAAACAAGATTTTTGCAGGAAGTATTATGGACTGTACACCTGTGTACACATAAGTTCCTGTATGTTATTAAAAAGTTGCTTAGGCAATCACCATCATTAAATGCTATGGTGGGTACAGAATAGGATTGGGAAACTAGAAACTGATTTGCTGTGAGTTCTCTTGACACACACTGATTGCTTCTTCAGTTTTATGAGAGTTTTAAAAAAGGTTTATGGAATAGAGTTCAGTAGTGCCTTTTTGTTGTGATTTTTATTATGGGTGTGATACTTTCATGTGTTTCTTTTTGTTTGCTTGTGTTTTGGCCTGGAGAAGTGATGCAGGGTTCTCATTTTAACTGGAATTTCAAATATTGATTTGGGTATTTAAACACATACTTTGGTTAACAAAAACAACCATAAAGCTAAGTAGAGAAGGATAAGGTGCTCTAATTTTCTCTTTTAGGTCTGGTAGTTTAGAATTCTGTGTATGTTAGCTTCTCTAGTACATAAACTGGAAAATGTTTCCATGTTGTGTGTTGAATTAGAAGGGAAAAAAGCACAGAAAATATGTGAAATCATTAAAAATTATTGTGAATATTCTGAAATACAAAATGATTCTTAATGTAAATGTCTCTTATTTAATCACAAATGAGTATGTTTGCTTAAATCTAAGCCTGAGGTAGACCAGAACTGAAGTTCAGGCTGGCCTCACATGAGGAGTGTGTGACCGCTGACAGGCGTCATACTGAACTAATTTTGGATTTTAGTTGCAAACTCAGTTGGGAAAGATGAATTTGAGAAGTATCAACACTTTCAAACTTTATGTCCATGTTGATGTGTACCTGTTCAGACATACATCTTTTATGGAATAACTTTGAAATTAAATAATTACTTTTTACAAGAATTAATGTGACAAATGCCAAACAGGATGGAGTATTCAGACAGAAAAAAAAATGTAAACCCAGGCCTATCTGTCATTGGTCCAGTACTTAGATGCCTTCTGAAATCTGTCACCTTGAAAAGTAGTTCATTTGGACTTTCACGCTCTTCCTCAGCATGCATAAATATGTAAGCTACTGTCTAGACACTGTCAGATGGTATGAGAACCCAGTGCACTTTTTCTTTCTGCTGTTGTCAAGGCTGAATTTCTATATCCTGCCTTGGTCATTGGTCCAAACAACTCCAGTGAAAAACAGGGTGCTTGAGAGAGGAAATAGAAGCAGAGAGTAAACAATGGAATGGGGGCAGCGCACAGGACTCCATCTCCAGAACACAGATTTGTTGCTGGAGAATTTATCTCCAGATCCTGCCGCCAACTCCGGCCAGTCCCAGAGCCCACTTATAAAATAAACACACAGGCGCTTACATTATTTAAACTGCTTGGCCATTAGTTCAGGCCTATCATTGTCTAGCTCTTACTCTTACATTTAGCCCATTTCTATTAATCTTTACTTTGCCATGTGGCTCGTGGCTTACCGGTACTTTACATCTTCCTTGTCCTGGCAGCGGCTCCAGGTGGTATCTCTTTCCTTCCTCCTTCCTCAATTCTCTTCTCTCTTTGTCCCGCCTATACTTCCTGCCTGTTCATTGGCCAATTGGTGCTTTATTTATATAGAGCGATATCCACAGCACAGATTCAAGTAAGTTCTTGCTCAGAGATAGCAATTAGCCTGTGTCCCTGCCAGTAACACACCAGAGGTTCAGTTTTGTGCTTTGTGAAAACCTAGTGCTGTAGGATGAGTGTTTTTTTGCCTGTTTGTTTTGGTTTTTTGTTGTTGTTTGTTTTTTCTTTTTTTAATCTTTGACAATATTCTTTACTCATTTTTTATTAAGAAAATTTCCCTCCTTTCCTTTTTTATTCTTTTCTTTCCTTGAGACAGGGTTTCTTTGTAACCATAGCTGTTCTGGAACTCTGTAGAGCAGGTTGGCCTTAAACTCAGGGATCTGTATAGCTAGAAGTTTCTCCAGTCCTGCCTGAGCCCTGTAGTCCCATGGCCTGCTTATAAAATAATCACACAAAGGCTTAATATTATTTATACCTGCTTGGCTCAGGCTAACTACTGACTAGGTCTTACACTTAAACTCAGCCCTTTTCTGTTAATCTATATGTTGCCACGTTTTCTGTGGCTTTACCTGTGTGCCATTACATGCTGCTCCCTGGACAGCAGGCTGGCATATCCTCACTCAGCCTTCCTCTTCCCAGAATTCTCCTTGTCTGCTTATCCCACCTATACTTCTTGCCTGGCTACTGGCCAATCAGTGTTTTATTCATCAACCAACCAGAGCAACACAATCACAGCACACAGAGTGATATCAACTATCATTCCTGCCTCTGCCTCCTGAGTGCTAGGATTAAAGGTGTGTGCCTTAGAACCCAGCTTACTCTCCACCAATCTGTTTCTGCTAAGAAACAATCTAGACCAGGGCTGCTTAGAGCGTGGTTCAGGGACCAGATGTTTCTGAGAACTGCCAGGGACCCGTCATAAAACATAGAAGGATGAGAATTGAGTGTTTTTAGAAATTTATTAAAATTCTCTTGACTTCATGATTTTGTGCACCTTGACTCAAATAATACATTATGGATGTTTTAAAATCTCTATTTTTTCTTGCCCTTCACTTCTTATTAGATAGAAAATTATTAATAAATGTCCACTCAGAAAGAGATAGGTCAAGCCTCCTGTCATAGTCAGGGAAGCACTGGTCTTCCTTGCCAGGCCTAGCACAGGTCATTATAGGACAGCTCTGAGCAACATTAACATGTGTTTCTCATCGCCTGGGATATCAAGACTACAATGAGATTGCATAATTATATCCCCAAAGGAACTTACAGTTTGATTAAAAAGCTTCCCTTCCCTTTCCTTAAGAAAATTGTTAAATATTCATGTAAAAACATTCAGCACACAAGCAGTCATATTTAAATGCTAAATAGGATATCAATAGAATTGCATTTGTATGTGCTAAAATCCTACACCATTTTATATGGAGTCATCTATTTGCTCCTACCATTTAACTTCTACAGGGCATTTTCTTATGGTCCTCATAGAGAATTTATGAGGAAGATACCTAGTAAAATATGAATTTGTCAATCCTACGTGATTTTCTATGAAAATCCTGAACATTTGCATTTAGAAATCATGGTGGTCTCATAAAAAAATGAAAGGTCTTAAATCCTCAATAATAAGGTGATTTCTATATATATGCTAAGAGAGACTTATTTTTTAATAAGCACCCATCTATTTTCAAGATCTTACCATAGAAAATTATTTAGAATACCCTATTCTCATGATTAGGAGTAAGACATGCAAACAAGACTTTGTAATCTTGAAAAATCTGGAGAGAGAAATTGGAACATAAATGCCAATTAAAAAGTTTTCACTAATTTGTCTCTAAGTCATTGCTCCTTCTATTAAAACCAGAAGCTCCCAGAGACCTCTCCCACAGAGTCATTGTTTTCCTAGGCCTGTGGCAAGCTGAAACACGCTTTGTATTATTAAATTGTTGTTACTGCCCTCTAGTGGCAACAAATAATCCTTGTTCTTCCACCTGTACTGATTGAGCCCTAGAAGTTCAGGACATAAAGGCAACCCACAGCTTGTGTATTGCATGAAGTTAAATAGCAAACCTAGGAAACCTTTACCTCATAACATGTAATCAAGCAGGAGTCTACTCAATGTGTAAGTTAAAGCAGAGTATGGAGACAAAAGGGTGGAGGCCTCATCCACGTGTTGTATTCAACTGTTTTTTCCATATGGTTAAAAAACGAGTCTCAAAAATTAAGGCAGCTTAGATAAAATCCTCTCAAAAGTTATATTGCATACTGTATGGTGGGGAACGTGTGAAATGCAGATTCATACTGTAGGGGCTAGAAATCATGACTCAATGATGATGATTTTCTCTGGCTGTCCACAGTCAGCCATAATTTGGAGCTACAACCCTTGGGGAGGTTATCAGAGAAAGTGCAGAAATGAAGATCCTCTCCTAAAATATACTTTATTGAGGAATTACCTTATAATGTAAGGGAATACTTCTTTCAATGATTTGTTGAAAAAGAAATAGGTATTTACTGGGTTTACCACTTACTTTGTAGGTGACCTTGGAGGGTACTAAGCATATTGGACTTTCCTCCAAACTCATCATTCGTATATACATACACATATAATCATTAAGATATATGTACAGTCAGAGCAGAATTTGAGGTTCATATAAAAAGTAAATGACCTAGAGTAAAATATATTTTATATGTTAAAAGTTAGTAATTACAATTTTATATTATATGTAACACCCAGTGAGCAATAAATGTCAGTATTGCCAATAAATGTCACAGGATTAATATGCAGGCACATCTGACCATATACGCTAGAAAGTTTCCCTCAGTACAGAGAGGATTTTAACATTTCCATAAAAAGAAACATGTTATATAAATCCATGAAAAACATTACCTTGAGGATTACTGAAGGATAAAATAAATAAGACATTAGAATGATTCTGTAATAAAATTCAATTGACTGTGGGAAAAATAAAGAATGATATTAAAGAAATGTTTCGATTATTTACCTTTCTCTTTTCTCTATTACCTGGAACCAAGAACAGATAAGAAGGTAAATGCATCAAGTTAAACATCAAATTCCCATCATGTCACAGCACATATAAACCACATGAACATGAAAAGCAGACTCTGGGTAAACTTAATCAGGTTTTAGGCATTTGATGAGGAAAATGGGTCATAAAAAATATCTATTGTTTCCCAAATAAATCACATTGCATGTGATTGAATTCTGTAATCATTATGTCATCAATAATTTTACATAGTTTGAAAGCTATATGGTATTTATAGTTCATGATGCATTATTAAAGTATAAGGGAAATATTCATGTGTGTAAAGTTTTAAGAAAAATTGTAGCAGTGTAGTTGGATGAAAGGGTATACATTTATATGCAAAACACTTATGTTTCATAAAATTGGATACTAAGATTATATGAGTTTATACTGCTTCATTTTTGACTCTACAATTCAATCTTTTCTCTGGAGTGCACCAACTTTCACCTTACCACGTATTGATAGTGAACTTCAGAGTAATATGTAACGTATTAGAAAGACTTCAAATTATGAGTTAGAATCAAAGTTGCTATAACTAACCAAAGTTGATATTAATGGTTATTTTTGTGTGGTATCAATAAAGATGTTTTAATTCTCTTTCTGAAAATCTCTCCTTTTTATGGTGTTTTATAGTGAAAGTAATTTCTATAACTCTGTAGTTTAGAAGATTAGAAGCCAGTGCAATCTAAGGAGCATGGACAGCCCCGTGCAGCCTATGAATATGATTATTAGATTCTATTTACTGGATGATGGAATTCAGATTGGTGCTGTTAAAAAGAAATCAAGGAATTACTGTATTCTTTCCTAAAAAATGCAATTCCAATGTCTTGTAGTACCAAAAGGCTGACACTCAGGGTGCACTAACAGAAAGGAATCGAAAACAAGATACTTGTACATTTACATTCATAACAACATTACTTCCAATAATCCCCCAAAGGGAAGAAACCCAAACTCTTACTGAGAAAAAATGTGTCATATACATACTTTATTCAGCCTTAAATAAAGATCAAGTTCCTGTTATATGCTTTCACATGAGGGATTTTTGTGGTCATCATGCTATGAAAAACAAGCCTGAAACAAGAGGAAAGACATTTTAAGATTGCAAGTATATGAGGTATATAGAAAGTCAAATAGTTAAAGAAAAATACAATGACTAGTGGTGACTGGGGAAGAGGGAAAGGAGCAGAGAGACCTTACCGATAAATAATAGAGTTTCAGTGCAGATAATGTCAACGTTTTGGAGATGGATAGTGGTAATCAATGTACATATATATACTGGTTCCATTGAAATATATATTTATGGTGACTAAGAGTGTCCATTCTATGATGTTTTCTATAAGTATATTTATTTAGTCCAGTGAAAACAATTTCTAAATGAAGAGGCTGAATACTGAGATCCAAGCCATTTTGCCACATAAAGATGACTATAGACACCAACTGTATTCTATTCTGTCTTGACAATGAGCTTCAAATGAAAATCCATGCTTCACATATCTGTAATTTAATAAAAATAAAAATGAGACAGGACAGTGATGATACATTTAGTTATAGCCACAAAGCTCAAAGCTTTTCAACATAATAATGATAAAATAGTTCATAGAGAAAAAATGTTGAAAATAAGACAAGAAAATACCTGTGGGCATCACTTCTGGCAAATTTAGTGAACACTCAATAATTGCCTTGGTCTGTTAACACTACTAGAAGAAAATGCCCAAAGCTGGGAATATTCTGAACAAGAAAAGCTTAGTTCTCATTGTTCTGAAAGGAGGAGATTCCAAGGCAAAGAGATGGCACACTCCCTGACTGGTAGAGCCTGGCTTTCTACTTTATAGATCTTCTCACTGTTTTTCACATGTTGGAAGAATGTTGGTGTCTTCTGATCTTGTTAAGAACAGAGATCCCATTCTTGAGGACTTGACTCTCAAGCCCCAATCATCCCCTAATGTTTCCATCTTCTAGTCTCCTCACCTTGGAGGTTAGGTTTCAACACAGGAATGTGGGCAATGCTGAGTCAGGTTTTAGGGTTCCCTGTGGAAGGTTTCACAGTGGAGATTACTGAAAGAACTTGAGAACTGTTATCACCCTAGATGCATAAAAAGTGTACATTTACAGGTGATGAATTTCTAGCTGGTGGTTTTATTGTTTTCACTTTGAAGATAAAGACAGAAAGTTGTTATAAATTACATGAAACTCAGGAAAACATTCCACTGAAAATACATGGCTCCTGTAGTCAAAATAAGCTTGAAAACTAAAAAATAATATGTAAAAATATTTTAAATACAGTATAAATTTAAGATAAATCTCTCTCTTACTTTGCCTCCCTTGCAACTGTCATAGGTATAGAATTAATAATATCACTAACCCTGGAGGAAATTGACTTATCAAAACACACTATATGCATGAATGAAATTCTCAAACATTAAAAGAACAAAAATACGAGGGTGAATTAAACAACAACAACAAAAACAAATTTACAAGCAATAACAAAATCACCAATTGTCCTACATAATCATTTCAGCTAAGCACTTCCACATGCAATGTAGTTTTGCTTCCTATTAAGCCCTGCAAAATGTCTATAAAATACAATTTTGAAAATTCTCAACTAAATCAGAAATTATAAACTCCCAAATTAAGTAGAGATTATACCTGGAAAAGTAACATTGTATACAACAAGCTTCCCAAATGTAAACCAGATTGTCCCTTTATGCTTAACTGCACAACACATTCAGTAGCAAGCAAGCGTTGAAAGTTCTTCATATTGTCCATAGCAGGATTTTTAGTTTGTGAGTGTTTTTAAAGAGGAGATGATGGCAAAGGTATCTTAATCCACAGTTTATGAGTTTTTTGAATAGAAATTTTTGCATATAAATGTTCACATCAATTATAAGTCATACTTGCCTTAAGCATCTCAATTTTAACAATCATGAAGTAGAAATACTCTTAAATTAATGTATATTAGAGCACATGGGCTTAACCTACTTTAGTTCTCATAAATGAAGCTGGGAGCAAAAGGTGAATTTTAATTTCTTTTTTAATATATGTTTTTATTATTAAAAATATTTTCTTTCATTTTACATACCAATCCCCGTTCCCCCTCTCTCCTCTTCTCCCACTCGCCACCACCTACCCCCATTCTGCCCCCAACATCTCATCATCGAGGGTAAGGCCTCCCTTGGGTAGTCAACATAGGCTGTCATACCATGTTTAAAATAACATCATTGAAGATTAGGATGGTGGTACATGCCTGTGGTATCAGTGTTCACTGTTAGAAGCAAGAGGATCAGTAATCCAAGAACATTCTCAGCTTTCTACAGGATTTGAGGTGAGCAGGAGCTACTGGAGAGCCTGTCTCAAAACAGGAACAACAAAAAATTTTAAACAAACATATAACATGCTTGGGGTTTTTTGTTTTGTTTTGTTTATTTGTTTGTTTTGCTGGATATACTGGGAGTAGAGCCCAGGACTTCACATGTCATGGGCAAATACTTCCCCAAAACTGAGTTACAGCCACAGACAAGTACAGTGAACATCTTGTAAAACTTTCTCTGCATGAGCATTGTTTTTCACCACATAAATGTGTTCAAGCAGTGAGTTCATTGCCAGTCTGCCTTGCTGCTCCTGATTGCTTTAACTTCAGGGAGGTGTCTTTTGTTTCTGTTTATTCATTTTTTATATTATGAAAGTGCAGAAAGATATTATCATTTAGAGCTTCTTCTAAAACTGTTTAGTCATCACTCAGAGTTGAGTGTAAATTACTTGTATTGATTTACTTACGAAAACAAACTGGTTTGTTTCTACATGGGTATGTTGTATAACTGGCTTGCTATGTTAACATGCTAGTGAGCAGTGGGTTAAAAAATATAATCTATGGTAGTATTTTATTTGTGCTGAAATGTGATTTTATTTGTATGTTAATAAAGCTGCCTGGAGATCAGAAGTCACAGTGAGCAATAAGCGGGAGTCAGGCAGTGGTAGCACATTCCCTTAATCCGATCACATGGCAGGCAGTCTCTGTGTGTTCAAGGACACAGCCAGCATGGTGATATATACTTTTAATCCCAGTACCAACCATAGAGACCTGGAGGTCTGTATAGACAGGCAGTGATGAGGAAGTCATGTGGTTGGGTTTAGAGCTAATGAGAAGGCAGAACAGAAAGGTAATAAAAAGACAGAGAGAGAATGTCTCTCTCTCAGGGGAAGTATGGCAGTGAATGGTAAGATAAAGCGGTCTTAGCACTTGGCTACTGCTCTGATCTCTGGGCTTGTAACTCTTCATTTGTCTCTGTGTTTCTTATTTAATAAGACCATTTAGAATTTCATCTACAATAATCAGTGCTTAAAAGTTTATTAAGTTTTTTTTTCATCTTTCCCCCTTGTGAGGTTGCAGTCTTTTTTCTCTTTTGCATATAGTAAACATGAAATCATTTTATTCATTGCTGATTGCCATCTACAAGCATTTCCCTCCAAAAAAATGGCAATCTTATTATTTTAAAACATGTATTAAACAAAATGATTGAAGTTGTTTTTAGATTATTTATCTTTTAGATTGTTAATATAAAAACCATTCAAGTCTAAGGTAACCCTTGTTTGAGGTAAAAGTTCTAAGAACTAGCAAAAAACGGTTGAGTGAAAAAAAATAAAAGACTAGGTAGAGAAATGGGTTATAGGTCAGATTTTAACAAATAAAGTACACAATTAAAATTTACATTTTTAGATGATTGAAGTTGTGCCAGCTATTTCTAATAATATAGTACTGGAGACAATAATAAAAATAATGAAATATTATGACATGTTTTTAAATTACATATTTTTGTACAATGTATTTGTCATATAAGACAGAAAACCAAAATAAATGGGAAATAGAGAAATTATTTGTTCTCCTCATCTTGAATGTAAACTGCACATTTTTATACATGTAGACTTTCATGTTATTTTCTAAGTAAATGTGCATTTTGCATGCATTAGTTAGTACGTGTAATATACAGTACTTTTAGCTATATACAGAAGTTTTAGAAAAAATATAGAAGATAAACTTTCTTGTACAGCCTTTGACAGACCAAAATGTAGCAGAATTGTAGAAAGTTTATTTAAATATTCTTTAAATCTCCTTCCCTCCCATTCCACAACATACTCTCCCCTACAAATCAACTCTTAATAATGACTCAGGCCTCCTCTTTCTGAGTGATTCCATCATGAAGAAATGGGAAGTCTTTCCCCTCTGTTCACTGAGCCGACGGTTCCCATTCTGTCCCTGATGAAATTGTTAGGCATCTCTTCCATGATAACAGACCAGGGATGCTTTTGAGTGAATTCTCCTCCTTATGATTAAGAAAGCAATTACTCTGATCCTGATCAGTTTTCTTTTCCTTCCCTTAGTTTTTCTTTTTAAAAGATTCATGTTCTCCGCCAAGCTCCTCTACTCATTCTGTGTTCACTGTACTAATATACCTCAATATATGATGCTTAGAAAGATACTTTGCTAAAGACATGTACTAAAGTTTGGATGTAAGTGCATCCCATACATTAGAACTTAGCTCCCAGATGGTGGTGCTGTTTTGGAGTTTGCTAGATATTTTGGGAGTTAGTACCTATATAGAGAAAATAGTAGGGGGCAACATATCCTTTGGGGTTCATTGTGGCTGGCCCCTTCCTGCCATAGTCTTTCTACTTCCTATTCGCTAGAAGGTAAGATCCTTTCCCACCACATGCTTCTACCAATGTGATGTTCTAAGCTCAAGTGCATGGAGTCAAATGCCATGGATGAGAACCCTCCCAACAAATATTTCCTCTGTTAAACATTTAGCTTCAAGCATGTCAAGGTAACTGACAGACCATGCACTTCCTCAAGATGTGAACAGAAGTTCCTTAAAATCCTGATGGGTTCAAGTGGATACACTGAGCTTGATGTTGGCTGGAGACAGTAGCTTAAGCAAGCTGCTAGGCCTCCATGATGGTAAATGGATTCTTTGTCTCATTAGTTCAGGATTTTACATTTCAAGTCCAATTTTAAAGTAATTTTTTTCTGTTCCATTCCATGCCTTTGGCTCATTATTCATTAAAATTCTGTCAGTCCCTAGGACTTTTAAATTTGCTTAACTAAATATTTAAAAACTATGGGTTGCATATGCTATACAGTTGATTTTTTTCTGTCCTACCTCAACTCTCAGTTATCACATGAGTACATTATTAATTCATTTTACCAAAGATTTCTCATATTATGACCAAAGTAGCTATCAATTACAAAAGAGTAAGCAGCACGTAAATTGTGTACACTCTGGACAAAGAGTTCACACCATATAACCACAGTAGGTTTTCTACCAAGACTTCAGTTAAAAATAGAATTAATTTTAGTAAGGCTTTCTTTATAGTTTTATATAATGTAATTTTGAAGTTAAACCAAAATGCAAGTTGCCTATCATTTGACCATGACTCTTAAATTGTAAGTAGACCCTTAGATTTTCTTTTTAAAGCTGTTTCCCCCAAAAGAATTCACCATATAGTTAAGGTCAATATTATTTAACCTTACATAATATCATGTTATGCTGCTTTCATTGGTGTTTATCCTTGAGGCTTGAGTATCAACCAAACTGAGTTCCAAGAGTTTAACTGTTTGGAATTTAGAATCCTATGATATACCTTTACTCTAGCTGTTACATTTTTCCTGTAAAGAAAGTCACACTTACCTCAATGATGCCATAATAAACAGTTTTAGACTGTACATTATGGATCAAGAGCAATAAGCGGTCCACCCCTTAGTTCTAAATCATTTGAGGCAATAATTGTCATTTCATGTAGTTAGAGAAATCTTGACAATTTGGTTTGGAGAAAATAACACCAATTTTGGTGTCATACTGGATATGGGTATAGGCAGGTAGACTTCCAGCTCTACAGCTCTCTAGCTTTGTGTATGAAACACTTTTTTTTGTGGTATTAGTTTTTAACAGTCAACCATGATCCCAAAATATTAAGTAGACTTTTCTAAAAATAAACAGTACAATACATTTGTTTCATACCGCTCTAAGTAGTGGGATTTTTGTGACATCTTGTTACTGCCCTAGGGTACTAAACATCCCTCTGTCCAGCGCACCCAAGCTGTATATACTATTTTTAGTTACACAGTGGCCATCTGGATTATCAGACTGACTTTCACAATATCCCAGTGTTTATGTTCAATTAAATCTATTTTGGTTACTAATGATCTTAAAGTGAGAGAACAGTCGCAATGACAATTTGGGGATACCAAAGAGAAGTGGTAAAAGGCCTCCTTTAAATCAGAAAGAGGAAGTTCTCCACTTTGTAAAACAAACAAACAAACAAACAAAATCTTATCTGTGTAAGGATTGCTAACTAAGAAAAAATTACTTCAATCCTTGATTTCAAGGATGTGCTAGGAGTCCTGGTACACAATCCCATTGATAAAGGGGGACTGTAGTTCTCCAGCTTGTCCAACTTGTCTGACCATTTTCTGTAAATGTAGTATGGAATATGACAAGGACAACTTAATAAAACCTCAAATAGATTACAGAAAAGCAATTATGAAACGTTAACACCTAATAAATGCCAGTAGCCTTCTTCTCTAGTTACCACACTGCAGATTTCACCTTCGGGTAGCAGTGTGCTGGCTTTGTAATGCAAACAGGTACCAACTAACTTATTGTCTTATCCCTCTGAGGTCATTCAGGCATGCATTGTATGCTTGGTAACAAGTTAGACTTGAAAGGGCCTTACAGAGGGGGCCAAACTTTCACCAGAAACTCACAGTCTTCCACATTATACATGAACATTTCTTATGCTGAAATTGCAACCCAGCACAATTTTTAGAAATCAGTCGGAATTGATAGTCTAGGTCAAGTCCTATAACTAGTGAAATTTTTTTTCATATCTAAAAGCAGCTATATACTAGGGGTTTAACCTTGGTAAGTGAAGACTTCCATACTTTCTTTAATTGTGTCACATATTTATATACATTCTTCACTATCCTCTTAATTGATTTTTGAAACAGGGTCTCAGTTATCCCAAATGGGCATCCAACTTGCTATGTAGCCAAGGATGACCTTGAACCCCTGATCTCTCTACCTCCACACAGTTTAAACACTGCTATGGCTATCTTCCTAATCATAACTTGAAAACATTATTACATTGATTAAATATTTTTAAATGTAATTTCTTTTAAATACCATTGTTACTTTCTACATCCTAACAATGACATTAACTTTCTCCTGATGACACAATGAAAAACTGAGGTACTGGCCCATGTTAACATCCTTTACATCTATTATTTGAAATAGAAGCTCTTGAATTAGGAATAGTATACTTTCGTCAGGTGAACAAGTAAGCAGGTAGAAAGCATTGCCTGTCATACTTTCATAAACTGCACAGTGTATTAAGGAGTTAAAGATTCGGCTAAAGGACATGAAAATACTGATGGGTCCTCTTGAGGAAGTTCATACATCCCACAGGTCCATACTAAAGCAGGTTTGAAACTCTTTTGTTTGTTTGAGACAAGGTTTCACTATCTAGCTCTGGCTGTCCTGGAACTCACTACGTAGACAAGGTTGGCCTCAAACTCACAGAGATTTGTCTGCCTCTGTCTCCCCATTGCTGGAATTAAAGGTGTATACCAACACTCCCAGATGGGTTTGGAATTCTTAAAGGAGTATGGGAAGACTTTGTAGTGTGAACTCAGAAGCAGGAAAAAAAAAGATTATGTTAACAGTAGCCTTATTTAGATCATTAAAATACAAAGTACAAAGTTAGAGCTCAAATATGGTTGTTCATCACTGAGCTGGGTTTCCATTGGTTTCCATGGCAACAGAGCAATGGATCCTCCTCAGTATATTGGGTCCCTGAATTTATTTATTTATTTATTTATTTATTTATTTATTTAGCTAGATAGTTGATTATTAAGAATTTTTAAATTCACTTTACATACCAATCAAATCCCCCTCTTTCCTACTCCCTCCTGTCCAGCCTCCCCCATCCCCAACTCACACCCTATTCCCTCCTAAGAGAATGTAAGGCCTCCTGTGGGGAGTCAGCAGAGCCTGGTACATTCAGCTGAGGCAGGTCCAAGCCCCTCCCCTTGCCTCTAGGCTGTGCGAGGTGTCCCACCACAGGTAGTGGGCTCCAAAAAGCCAGCTCATGCACCAGAGATGGATCCTGATCCTACTGCCAGGGGACCCCTTAAGCAGATCAAGCTACACAACTGTCTTGCTGTGCTGTCTGATGCTCCACAGGTGTTTGTCTAAATTTCATGAGTTCCCACTAGTTTGGTTTGGTTGTCTCTGTAGGTTTCCCCATCATGATCTCAATGCCCTTGCTCATAGCATCCCTCTTCTTTCTCTTTAACTGGACTTCTGGAGCTTGGTCTGGTGCTTGGCTGTGGATCTCTACATCTGCTTCCATCAGTTACTGGAGAAAGGCTCTAGGATGACAGTTAGGGTATTCACATATCTGATTACTGGGGTAAGCCAGTTCAGGCACCCTCTCCACTATTGTTAGTAGTCTAAGCTGGGGTCATCCTTGTGGATTCCTGGGAACTTCTCTAGCACCCAGTTTCTCCCTATCCCTGTTCTGTCTCCCACTATCATGGTATCTCTCTCATGGCTCTCCCACTCCATCCCTGTTCCAGCTTGACCATCCCATTCCCTTATGTCCTCATCCCCTATCCCCTGCCCTCCATTGCCCACCCCTCATCCCCAGTTTACTCATGGAGAGTTCATCTATTTCCCCCTCCCAGGGCTAGCAATGCATCCCTCTTAGGGTTCCCCTTGTTACCTAACTTTTCTGGAGCTGTGGATTGCAGTCTGGTTATCCTTTGCTTTAAATCTAGTATCCATTTATGAGTGAGTACATACCGTGTTTGTCCTTCTGGGTCTGAATTACCTCACCCAGGATGATATTTCTAGTTCCATCGAAATGAGCCTTCCTCAATTTTTTTAAGTATAAAAAACAATGAGATTTTACTTTCACTTCACTATAAAATATCTAGTAAGGAAACCAAGATAATAAAAATAACATGGTTAGAAGTTATCAATTTAAGTCCCATTAAAACTAAATATGGTACAATAAACATCTTTATACATCTTAAATTTATACCAACTAGTATTTGGAAAACACAGTAAAATGATAGTGAATTACTAGAAAAAATAAAATGTAACATTTGATTCCAAATTTTGTCTTTCCAGTCATGTAACCCACAGATTAGTTTTATTGGTATTTAAAAAGTTAAGTTCGAAATTTTACCTTGATATTTTCTTTTTCCAAGAAAATGAAGATTCTCTTGAAAGCCAACCACTCTCAGATCACAACTTCAATAGTACTGCCCGATTGAGCACACATATAAGGAACAGCCTTTTCAGGGAAAGAGAGCATACAGATAATGAACATGCAACAATACATATATCCTAATCCATTTCTTGAGTTTAGATTCTACCAAGAGAAGATCCACTGACTAAGGAAAGTGTCTATTATATTGCCTGATTATAGATTCCATAGACTGTAACAGGAGGATGGAGAGGTGGAGGAAGGCAGAGTCTTGCAAAAGAAGACTCTGAAGAACATTTCTTCTGAATCTATTGAAATTCATTACTTCCCACAAGTAAGTACTTAAATACCTCCATTGTGATTATATGTCTAACTTTTATTGTCTACTAATTGATAAAAATTCATAGAATTAGATTGTTTGAGGGAGGAAATCACCTGTTTCCTTAGGGTTACTTTTCTTCTTTTAATGTTCTAAATATAACTTACAAATGTGCTGTATACTATATAGTATGTAAATGCAAAATGTGTTTCTTGTTTTTGTTACTGCTATGTGTTTAAAAGATCTTTTGCTTATGCTCATAGATGAGATAGAGTTGTGAATTTTGTTGTTGTACTGCCCTTTTTTGTTTTATTGTTAAATTGTGTTGGTTTTTGTGCAACACATTCCATAGCCCTTCTTGCATACTTTTATGCACGGAAAGACTTTTTTTAGAACAGAGAAGTGAAGAGATGGTGGATATTTTCCATAATATGGTGAAACCGTTGACACATCTGTCAGTCAGTTCAGCTCTTCTTTCTTTAACTGGTATTAAATCTAGAATGTCTCTTATCTGTTGAGGTTTCTATTAACAACTATATGATTAATTTATATGATTAGAGTAAATCGTTTTCCTATCAGCCTACTAATATTTTGTTCCTATCTGAGATTATGTGTTTTTTATGGACATTAATGCACACAGTGTATCTATGTTTATAAAATAGATAGCAAATTGAAGTTCCAGTTTTGAGATGGTTGTGTGTGCTTTCTGTTTCTAAGCAGTATCATCTGTTTGGGTATCTAGGCTAATAGAGGTGAGAGGTGACACTATAGGAACTTTTTGACTTCCAGTGTCCATTTCTTCCTAACTCCCTTTCTTGCCAACTTTCTGTCAGCATTTTTATAGCTGACTTGCCTTCCCCACCCCCTCATTGACTTTGGAAATTCATCCCAGTCAAAGCCACAGAGATATTGTATGGCTTGGTTTGATTGGGAAAAAAATGCCTTTCCTAAAGCTTACATACAAAAGAGCTTCAAGCATGGCTACCTTATTTTGGCGTTCATTGGCTTGCTCAGCTTCTCAT